AGAGCGTTTTTTAAAGAATAGATGTTTCATCAGTATTCAGATTGGCAATTTTCAGATTGGAGATTATTTACAGAAAGTGAAACGTGAAATATAAACGTCATACCGTAAAAATAACACGTTCAAAATGTTGATGTGCTTGTTTGATAAGTACACGGAAGTGATTTTGATTGGAAGTTTTGTAATACGAGAATATCAGATAGAAATTCGTTTCGGCTTCGAAAGGTGGCGTTTGAAAACGTGTTCTTTTGCTAGGTCCAACAGCATACGCAAAAGATCCTTCTGAAAGAGCGTTTTTTAAAGAATAGATGTTTCATCAGTATTCAGATTGGCAATTTTCAGATTGGAGATTATTTACAGAAAGTGAAACGTGAAATATAAACGTCATACCGTAAAAATAACACGTTCAAAATGTTGATGTGCTTGTTTGATAAGTACACGGAAGTGATTTTGATTGGAAGTTTTGTAATACGAGAATATCAGATAGAAATTCGTTTCGGCTTCGAAAGGTGGCGTTTGAAAACGTGTTCTTTTGCTAGGTCCAACAGCATACGCAAAAGATCCTTCTGAAATTCCTCACACTCATCCAAGGAAATCACTGCATCATTTCTGTACAATCCAGTCAAACGAATAACTGCGAGCCAATGAATTCATTCAGAATTACTAACTTATATCAGAATAGGAATGGTATTGCCCAGATCACCTATGAGAATCATTTATACGATTAGGAATGGTCGGAATAGAAAATGGTGAGCCATAGACAATCAAACTAACCAGGATTAAATGGGAACGACGAGGCATCACCTCGAATAGTACCAATAGGTTGTGTGGATATGTTCCATGAAGACTGCAATATGTATTTGACGCAAGGCTCATTCTCGAAGGAACATTGCAATGCAGAACATAGTGCTGCATAATCATGTGGGCGTTGAACTTGTTCGATGAATCTATTTCGGTAGTTCGTATATTTTTGCAGTTTAGCATGGTCGTTTGATTCGGGTGTGATAACACTATTCAATTCGATTAATTTTGATATTTTATTTGACGGTGATACTAATGCAACAGCTGCTGACGATGTGTAGTCATCTGTTGCCGTTGCAGTGACATCGTTTTGTGATTCAATCCGTTCATAGTCATGTAATTTGGTCTGAAGAATAATCATTGTTAATCTGATTCCACAGTACAGTTGGATGGTAAGGTTGCTGCCGAAGAAATTTACCATCAACGAGCAAAAGAGAAGTACAGCAAAACACTTTTGAAGTATAAGTGTTTTACTTTTGACAGAATGGCATTGGTAATCTCGATTCTGTAATATTATTGAGGTTGTTGCTCTACTGAAGTTGATGAATTACCTTTAACGGCATCATATTATTCGAGTCCGTACATAGATCAGCGTAGTATTCAATGCTGTCGATTATTGCGAAACCACCTTCGAGATTCGTTGAACGAAACACGAAGTTATCAGCTATTATAAAAATCTAAATCGAAGCTGTATTACCCATTCGGTATCCCGTATTTTAATGGCGATCGAATAATATTGCTGTTCAAAAAGGACGATGTCTTTTGTTAAAATCTTTTCGGCGATTTGTATTAGAGCTACTAATCGTATAACGAGGCAATGAAATGAATAATATAATTCAAGTACTTGAAAAGATTGTTTGTCAAGGTCAGGAATACTAATCAATGCAGGTCCTGGATCACCAGTTTCAACAGGATCCGAACAGTAATCGAAATCAGGGAACAATTTGATTGTTTGTTTTGTACAAATCTTTATCCGAACTAACGGGCTCGTCCAATACCTGCAAGCTTCGATTGAATGCGACGGTAATCTCCATATCAGTTATTCTTTTAGTACCAATTTAGCTGTTTTTAGTAATGTTCTGCTGCCACCTGTTGAGCAATCATTCCAGCAACAAAAACATTCCGTGAATTCGCCTTTATGATGAGTTGC